GTCCCCCCCCCCCCCCCTTCTCGGGGTTTAGAGGAGGTGGTTTACATATGGACTATTTATGATTATTATTTTCTTTCTGCATTTTAGTTGTGTAACTTATAAGTTGAATCGTGAACCTGAACGGATCGAGAGAGATGTAATGTTTTGTATTTTTAACCTCCAAATGACTTGCTTCTAATCTTTTAGACATTGTTTAGGTATTTAATTTGGATGAACATCCAAACGTTTGCATTGAAACCCAATGTAATTGACCACACGGGACTTGGGAAAGTATAGATATTCTCAGTTTTCTTTAAATAACATGTAAATTTGCAAGACTTATCAATTTCAAAATTGGGAGACTGACTTTATTGCGATTAACTTTTTTATGAAAAATCATACTTGTAGTTGTTACTTTAACCGTAAGAAGGGGGATATTGAATGTAGTGTTATTGACTAGAATGAAGTCACAACAAGATAGCCATATTGAAAGGTGCGGTTGATCACTTGATTTTTAGGGAGAGCTAATTTTTTTTGGGTATTTTGATTTGACACTGCTTCACACCCAAAATTAGGGCTGTAAGCAAAAATCGTCAAATCGGAAAATCGAACTGAAATCGCATTTTAGAAACCGTTGGTTTGGTGCGACGTGAACCCGGTCAACGAAATGATTTTGACCCAAACCAAACCGGTCAAAATGGTTTGGTTTAGGTTTAAGAATTTTAATTGTGACTTAAAACCAAATTTGACCGGCGAAAAAAATAAAAAAATAAAAAAAATGAAATTTTTTGAAAATTTATCCAAATATTTAAAATTCAATAGTTTTGTCATTTGTGAGTATTTTTGTCAATTTCTAATTTTTTGATACAGATATATTATTATTATCCAATAATTATAATTTATATCTAATAATTTCAAAACTAACATAATCTATCAAAAAACGTTTTCCTGTTTAGAATTTAGATGAACTCCAGCCGACATCCAACATAGTCTTGAGCCACCAGCACAACATACTTCTTTTTCAGATTTTTTACGCCTCTTCAAAGTTAAATTGAAATCCATTATACCAAATCGGAGACAAAGAGATCTTAGACATTCCGTGATAATATTTGCTACGAATAAAGTTTCAAATCAATAACTTTTTTGGAGCAAACTAAGGTAAGAATCTGAAATTAAATGCATTTCATAACATAATACAAACGTAAACTTGTGTAATTATTATGTTTAGATATTATAAACAATTACTTTATTAGTGTGGTTGGTTAATTTCTTTGTTTAATCATTATCATTTTTACAAATATGATCACGAGATTTTGTTGGACATCATTATATTTTTTGACCTTATATCTAATTTAATAGACTTGTATTGTAATGTTATTGTATCGTCATTAGCTTAAAAAATGTGAACAAAAATGAAAAAAATTATGTTTTAATTTATTGTGATTTCACTTTGATTTAGTTGGTATTTAAATTTATAGTAGATATATTTAGCTCTGTTTGAGCCATATTTTCCATATCATCATAATGAGAAAATTGACCGTTGGAGAGGAAATTGGGTCTCACACATAAAACAGCAAGTCAACAAAGATGGCTGAACTTGTAGGATATCGATCCAAATTTTCATTTTTTTGTCCTAAAAATTTTGTTCAAACAGGGGCTTATTTTGATTTAGATTGATTGCTAGTGAGATATAAATATATATTAAATTCAATGAATTAATGATATAAAAGTAGAGGGCAAAAAAATATATGGGAAAATCGACGGTTTAAAACTGGATCAAACTGTTAGGTTTAGGTTTGAATTTTTTTCAAACCGCTGAGTTTTTTACAAACCGGTTGAAACGGTTTGATTTGAAAAATTGTCAAAAATCGGTAAAATCGGACCGCTTACACCCCTACCCAAAACAGAAAAAAGGAAACTATGTTTGATTTAAACTTTGAGATGAAAGTCTTATTTCATTGAAATACGACCAAATTTATTATCTTATTAAATAGTTTTCTTCAGGTCGCATTATTAGCAACAAGAGTATTGAAGGAAATGTATACTATTCATGACAATCCCTTTAGATAAAATTTATTGCAAATCGAGATTGCTCAAAATTGTTCCAATTATGTTACATGTACATAATAATTTATGTAATAATTTACATAAAAATGATGTGATCAAATATGATTGGACGAAATTTTTTCAATCAAATAAAAAAAATTCACCTATCTTTCCCTCACATTATCTATATGTAAATTATCTAATTTCATTACGTAGGAGTAACATTATTGTGCTCAAAATTCAGTAGAAATTCTTATGAACTCATTTAGTAGACCATTTAAAGGTGTCCTACATGAACAACAAAAAGTTGGTTGGTTAGACACGTTCGAGGAAAAATCCATTTTCGCGTCACATTTTTGTATGACACTGCTCAGCAACATTTCCACCCAAGTGTCATGCATAAACGGGATGGGCGACTTACATGAAGTGAATAGATTTAGAAGGATATATTTTAATTGATTTTATTTTTGTCAATTTAAATAAATTTACTAATATAATTAAAAATATGAAAAAAAAAATGTGGATGAATATATATAAAAATTTGAAATAGCTGCACCCTTTTTGTTTTTCAAGCTAATAGATTCTTAGGCAGATAAGAAATAGAAAGATCAGAAAGAATATCATAGGAATATAACTTGGGAGGGGTTTTCTCCCATCTATATAGATATATTTTTTTTTTAATTTACATTTTTGTTAATTAGATCAGGATAATTATATTGGAATAATGGGTTGGAGTCAGATTAAGAGTTGTTTGATTCTGGTTGTGTTTCTCTTCCTTTTCACCGGTCTCTCAGCGTCCACTTTCATTACAGGTTTTTGTATCTACATTCGTGTACTATAATTGTTTCAATTTTAAAATTTGGGTTCATTTTGCGGTGTGATATTGTTAATTGATGCAGATGATATTTTTGGATGCCCAGATTCAACAAATAGGAGGCTCCTCCAGGCTAAGAAAGGTAATTTCTTACATTTTTTAAACTGAATAATTTCATTTAGTATTACTAATTTTTCTTTTGATTTTATGCTTTTAATTGTTATTTTTTTTACTGGGAGTACAGCTATTATGCAACAATTTTAACTCTGTTATTGTGGTTTCCTGTATATAAATGCTTAGATTAGCGTTGTTGGGAGCTTAATTTGGAAAATATTAATGATGAATTTTCATACTTTGTATTCAAATAGTTGTGGTATAATTGATTAAAGCCTATTATGTAGTGCAAATATGATGCAAATTCCCCAATGCTTCTTTTGCTCACCGGAGTTAATTGGACAAGCAAATTTTCTGTCACGCTGTAGACTTGCAATTCTTATTTCTAGTGGCGTGGGTAACTCCACTTGCCAGATTCTTGGTTATTCCTAACATAAATTTCTTTCTCGGCTACCATAACTTATTAAACAAAGTTTCACCTCAACAAATTGCAAAATCTTGAGATTCATGAAACTTTAGGCATTATATAGTATAATTGCTTGAGTACGGTTTGAATCCTTCACCGATTTGAAGATTACAGGTAATAAATTTTGGGATCTCAGAAGTACGATAGATTTTTATCAAAATAGATTACATAAGTAGAGTGCAATACTCTGAAACTGTCATGTGGCACAACACCATGAATCTTTGCCTCCAGGAAAAATCTTGATTTCGAGGATTCCCGGACATTATTCCATCTTTTTTTGCCACGTTCCACTGTATTGGGGCCAGCCACAATTCATGTTTGGGTAGTTACTCGATATATAATGTAAAATAGTTGTCTCGTGCTTTAATGTGCTCTTTTAACAAATTTGTCTACCACGCTGATTGTATATCTTTAAATAGTGGTTATGGCATATTTGGCGAGGAGGATTGGATCGTATTTAGGAAGAAAAAAGCTAAATGTTGTCGTGTATATTATATTCCCCAGAGTCATGGTATTGTTTGGTTTTTGTGGTGCTGTTGCTAAGTAGGATTAGGTTTTTAATCCAGTTAGATTATATTAATTGTACGGCTACTTAGAGTCTCTCAGTTATGATATTTTGGGAGGAAAGTCGAGATCTGATTTATCCTTGAGAACATTGCATCATCACTTGAACGCTCAAATCCTTCTGCTTTTAGGGATGGTTCATTGATTATTCTGTCCTTTGCCATTCACAGCTTGCCCCGTTAACTTTTGAGTTCCAGAACCACACTGTCATCTTCAGCAAGTGCAAAGGGACACTATACCTTTCCCAATCTACGCTGTGGTGCTTTTAAAGAATTTGCTTGTCCTTTTTATGATGAACTGAACGACTGTGCTTCAGTCATGTTCAGCTACATTAACCTCTACGGTAAGTATCCAGCAGGTCTATTTGCCAGTGAGTGCCGGGAATCAAAGGATGGACTTGAATGCTCTGCAACACCACCATCATCATCACTATCAGAGAAAACAGAAAAAGCTAGCGCCGGGGAGATAATATGTAACCTATTCTCAATGCTGATGCTCATTACAGCTTCTCTTCTGCTGTTACTGTAATTTATTTAAAGCTTCCACGTATTTTACTTTTGTCATCATATATTTTCCTGCTGCTTACAGAAGTACTCAAACCAGTCCATATTTTTGTATTGATATTTTCAGGTGAATCAGATGAGGCTTGTTCACTATGTAACTCGATGTGTGTGTGTGTGTGTGTGTGTGTGTGTATATATATATATTTTTTTTTCGATAATTTAGTGATTTGTGGACCATGATGCATAGATCTAACATAGCTTCATTTCTGTGGTAGATAATCATTATGTTCTGTGGTTTAATTGAGGTGAATGAAACATGGAGTGTTAAAAGCAGCTGATAATTTTCATCAACTTTATTTTATCAGAACAATTCTCCACTTTTTACAGGGACCCATTTACAAAGTATTCTAGTATCTTTTAATACACACATTTGGAGGGATCTATAAGTACTATTTAATATTATAACTTAAATTGTTTATAACCACTTATCAAACCAGCTCAGTGAATAATAACATATTTATTTTCCACTATTGTCAACTTTTGGAGCCATTTTGGATGAAAATTGTCAAAACTTTTGTAGGTTTACTAAAACAGTAATACTATTAGATATATATATATATATATACACACACACCAATTTGTTATTTGATACATTAGTCCTTGTTGAGCCCCATGTAAGTGTTATACTCTAAATCCAATCGATTTAGGTTGTAAACGCTTTTAATATACTTAATGCATTTGATTTTGGTGAGCTCTATTATTTATTTAAATTAATTTTGTGATAAATAATATTAAATAATAGAATCCGAAAATCCAATTTTTAGGTAATCTGTTAATCACAAGGAGTTGTGATTGTAAGATACAAATTCGATATAATTGGATCTTGAATAAACCATGGTCGTAAGTAATAATGAGATACGGATATCGTTAATACAATTAGACCATCACGTGTGGCATTTCTTACTTGTGAAGTAAGTAGCTGATCTCACGAGTTAAAG